GTCAAATCAGACTCATCAGATTCATGTGCGGCAGTTCGGAGATTCTGAATCTCAAAAGCGTGATATCTGAGAAGAGCGAAAAATCTTCCAGAAGAGTTGATGGGTTGTCCCACTGCCAGAATGTCGTACGATGTGGATATTGTCGACGAGATCAACGAAGTTTTGGCCCTCGCCGGACTTTTTGTCGAGCACGTCATATTTCAGCATGCTATACTTGCGCTTGAGCTTGGAGATCCTAGTACAGCAAGACCCGTGCTCTTCCCGCACACGTTACTGCATTTATTCTGGCATCATGTGGCATCGGTGGTTTACGTCTGTCATTCGAGAATCGTGTGTCAGATCTCAGAATCGAGATGTGAGTTGTTTGAATCATCATCACTAGTAACTTTAGAGTTGAGAATGCTATGGTGATCCAATTTGTTTGATGAACAGATTTTTCTTGAAGATGGGGAGAAGACTTACTGTGGTTGTCTGAGTTGATATATCCTACAACACTTCCAGGAGACCAGTAGAAATTAAGATGGCTCATGTCCAATGCTGAAGAATCTTCGATCAAAACACGATGCTTGCTACATTTTTTGTGAAGACTAGATCATATGATCCACTTTGATGCCTAAGTTACAAAAAAGGTACAAAGTTGAAATTCTGATTCTCTATATTTCACAGGAAGACATCAGAACTAATTTGAAACTATGAAACTCCGTGGACCTTGATAGATCTTGGAAGCTGTCAGAGTCCTCGAGCCCCGCAGAAAGTTACCAGGACCTTTGAAAACATATTTTTTTCCATTTCTTGAGCTTGCTTTAACAAACCTCAAGAAAGACATACAAAAATCAACTGTTGCAAAGTTTATATCAGGACAATTTCGATATCGAGCGAAAGTGTCAGAGCAGGAGGAAGAGATGTTCTAATAGGGTAATGTGGAATCAGATTACTGAAACACTTCTTCATTTATCAAAAGTTATGAGTGTACATCTTCATCGTCACAGTATTCTTCTCCACGCTTACGTACATAAATGTAGTCCTCAGTCCACATATGTATACAAAACACAGAAGACAAGCTCTAATGAGTTAGTGACCGATTTGGGCCTATTTAACTAGTATGGTGTAGTACGAGTGAAGCTTAGACTACTTCATGATCTGATAGACTGAAATATTAGTTTGTAAGAAACTAATATTTCAGTCTATCTGTGTTATCGCATGAGAATAGAACAAGTCAGCTTTACTATGTGGTCCTAATTTGACTTAGTCGAAGAAATCATCGCAGTCAGGACTTAATCCAGTTAAACTTTATGGCTTCGATTAAGTGGAGAAATTTTCTAGGTACAGTTGGTTTTGATGAAGTAACGCTCACAAAATTATTTCCAATGTGGAGTACTCTCGGAAGTCCTAGAGAACTCTGCCTTAGAGTATTTTGACAATGTCCACTCACAAAGTTATTTCCAATGTGGAGTACCCTCGGAAGTCCTAGAGAACTCTGTCTTAGAGTATTTTGACAATGTCCTCTCGCTGTAATGTAGAAGAGTAAGTGTTCATAGGTCCTAGCTCTGATGAAACAATCTGACTATCTTTTGAACTTCTTCATGTAAACATTAGAACGTGTTGGACCGTATGAGGAAAAAATGAAGTACATTATTTGGTGGACATATTAAAACACAGGAGAAGTTCAAATTTCGTGGCTTCGAAGTCGAAAAGATATTTCCTAGTTAGAAGAATAGTTCCGTGAGATGTGCGCTCACGATTAAATGTTCAGATTATATGATTTAAGAGAGAATGCAAAAGGAAAGAGGGAAAAAAATTAAAGAGGAGAAAATATGAATCCAAATATCTCAAGCCAATGTAGTATGTCTATATTTTCTCGAAATCCATAAGAATGTAATAAAAAAATTCATGTCCAAGACACGCGATATCTTCTGAACTAATCTTGAGTTCATCATGGAGCACCATAGTCAATAGGTTATAATTACATTGCGCCCAAAAAACTTCTTATAAATGTTTCATTTGAGTGGTTGGAAACCAGGATCTCGATCTCTTTTGACCTATCATGATAATGACCAAACAAGGGCATCGAGAATCTACAGGATTTGTCTTACACGTGCCAGAAAATACTTGAAAACAATAAAACTCGAATAAAGAGATTTTCTTCCTCGATTCATGGTTAAAAGTAGAAGAATGACTTGTAAAACCAGAATTCCTACTAGGATAACATAACTGAAAGATACCTGGATATAGTTTCTTGAAGATAGAAATATTTTCCAGGGATTTTCAAGAGATCTTTATATCCTCGTCTTATCAAGCTATAAATGAAAAGACTAGGTGGTGTATTGAATTTTCAGTATCTAATGATGCTGCAACTATCATTGAGGCCGAATAGTGGGAGCAGGCAAAGTTTTCTATTTATCCACCATCGGAAAATAAACATTCAAATACTGAGAAATAAGGGCTTGGTTCACCACAATTGCCTGTATACCAAATATTACAAGGTAGAGCGGTGCAAATCAAATAGTGCATCATCTCCAAAGTCTCATTTCATCATACATCACTTGAATACTACAAGGAAGCAATTTTTGAACATTTATTTGACGTTGGTGTATAAATGCAGAACTTTGCCTGGTTTTACAAATTAAAAGCTTGAAAGGACTGCATTTAAAAAAAAAATAGAAGCATTACCGACTGGAATTTCGAGAGGCTTTTGACACATGTGCACAAAATATTCTTCTAATTTCAAACAGACATTTATGAGACTTTCATGCATTCAAGGTTGAAATTCAAACTCAGGTTGGTGTCGTTTGCTGTCTAGTCTTCGAGATGGGCATATGCTACCGAACCTTTGAAAATGTTGTTAAGATGTGAAGTCTTAGTTAATTGTGTTCAAGAATGTTGATTCTTATGTATTCCTATGGGAATAGGCAATGACACAGATTCAAAAAATCATAATCTCATTCTTTTTCAACTGTGTTGAGCTCGTGCTAGTATTGAAAATTGATTTCTCGTCTATAAGATACGTTTCGTGAGCCCGATTTAGCCATTATCCTGAATGAGAGAAAGAATTCAAGCGTACATAAACTTTGGAAAAAGTTGCGAAATTATATTTCTCAAATAAAAATGTGCATTTTCACATGTTCTCACTGATTTATTTCTGTAACAGGAGAAAAAATCTTTCTTAGCTTTTACGTTACAACAAACATTTCACATTTTGAAATAATACTTGAGTACTGTTTGGACTGTATTATATCTTGACCTGCAATATTGACCAGCATCTTTGATAGATTAATCTGAAAGTATTAATAGATAATTCTGTATGTTAGTTGTGGATGATTAGTGTTTTCTTCAGGAGACGAATTTTCAAGTTTTTTTTTCTTATATTCTTCTGATGAACATGTTTCGGCTTGTGCCGTGCAGATGTCCTCAGTCAATCAGATTCATAGTTCTATCTGTAGCTCTGCAATATGTACGCTCTTATCCAAGAAAGAGGAAACTTCTATGCCGTCAGATGTTCATATGATGTAAGAATATATCTGGATGGAGTCAACTAGTGCACAGGAACATTAGCATCTTTGACCTACTAGAGTCATTAACATTATCAGATGCTCCGACTAGCTAATAAACGAAAGATCGTCTTAAAGCTACTGTCACAGGAAACAATAAATGCATTACCCAAGAATGTGAGTCCGATTGTAAGGTTCTCCTCCATTTGAATAGAACCCACGAGTGGAGAAGCGTCAGATCGTGCACTGTACTTACCATCATAACTCTTGTCACAGTGACTAACACATGGACGCCCAAATTTGTTCATAAATATTCATGCTTTCATTAGTCCGAAAAGCTTGTGTCATGATTAAATTTTCAATGACCAGCTGATTGTCAATGTCATGAATGCTACTTTCACGCTTTTACAGTTATGGACCATCGGATGTTTGAATGTAAGCTTGTGCAAAGTAAGATCTGGAGATGAGCTTATCGTTAGATTATGAAGACATTCGTCTGAATAAATGCTCTTGTATTTGCATGCTCTGAGGGATTTAGAAATATGTGAGTAGCCGAGGTGAGGGATTCTAATGAAAGTATGAGATGATACAAATCGAGACAAGTCACTGTCTCATTGATGGCTACTCTCATTACTACAAACGATGCATATAAGCAGGTGCTAATAACTTGTACATAACTTGTTCATTTGAAACACTTAATGTATCAGGATTTGTAGCTATTAGTAAACTCTTCATGAATATGTACGAAGGTAGATGAGGTTCATAATCTAGGAAATTATATTAAAAAGAATTCACAGATAAGAGCGTTTTCTACATTTAGTAGAATGTCATGTAAAACAGTATGTTCGAAGATAGTAATAAACGTGAAAATTTCTGCTTCAAAACTTCACTCGCATGATTCGGACGACAAATTCGTCGGCTTGGGACTCATTGAAAAGCTGCGGCATCTGTCCGCTGAGAACCAAGTGGTCATGTGCTGAGAGTCTACATCTGACACCGAAACATGAATTTACCAACCATGAGGCGGAACACACTTGTTGCACCTCCTCTGACATTGGGCCCAAGGATTGAGGTGTAGATTGCTCATCTCGTACGTTCGTTCAAGTCCAGACACACAGACCCAACAGTTTGAACAACGCCATCCATCCTTTACTGCTTGCTTCCCGTACTCATCGACCGATACGAAACAGCGATGTCTTAAAGTTGGCCAGACCACGTGATCACAATGGCAAGGCTGCCTTCTTTTGTGTGCTTGCCGTCCCTATCCTCGAGCTCGTCATCACACCGATCGGGCCTATTGTGATTGTGACGATTTCGTAAACTCGGGTCATATCGGAATGCTGGAGCTCTCGAATCATCGGCATCGACTGATCTCTGTCTCGATTCTGATTTATTCATTATGTTAATTAAGACATAATGGAAAACGATAAGTTCCAAAGCTCATACAGCCCACCACCTACCTACGAGTATATAAGTGATGTCCACGAGGCGAGGGAGGCAGTAGTCTTCGCGCTCGATCCTCGTCGATGCGAAGAAGTGTCCTCGAGAAGCTCTGAATAGATATATATTGAATAGATCCCAATTGTTCCTTTGGTCGGAGCCCTAGAACTAGAAGTACCGCGCCCTCGCACAAGTTCGTGAGTTTGCTCGATCGATAGACTGACAGACACACATTGTTGGTATCGAGCTCAGAAGACAACTACTTAATGAGCGCAGCGCGGCGAGATATCGAACGATAACAATATTCTTGGACAACGCTCAAGCGGTTGGAAAGGGATCTGTTCCTAAACTTGCGTTGAAGAATGAGGAATGGATGTGAGTTGGTTGAAGAGATTGACGCATCCTACCACATTTTCAGGTGATGGCAATAATACTACTCGAGTGTGTCCCGTAGGGAGACGATTCTCAACTCTTATTATTATTTGGAGTAAACATGATGAAGATTTGATGATTGTGTGACGTTGAGATGCTAGATAGCCACCTTCACTCACGCCAAGGATTTGTGCTACTTTATAGATGTGTGATCTCTGTGAAAGTTGATAAACTTTGGTATTTCTCATGGTACTGCAGACCTTTCAGGAACCAATGTTTTTTAATATTTTATTGATTCGGCTTCTCATAAAATGAATGCAGCACTGCCACTCATCCACGAGTAACGTAGACAGATCTTCTGTAGCTACACGCTAATATAGTCATCGAGCTATATTCGAAGGAAAAGACAGACATCAGAATTGAATACAACAGGAAGAGGAATTATCGGGAGCCGATCCAGCCACCAGGTATTATTGATTCAGATCTCTTGAACAGTTTTGAATGTAATATGTTCTATATGAAGCTAAACACAACACCTTCACCTCGTCTTCTGCACCCACAAAGGCAAGCCTCCATCCATCCAGTCCAAATGTGGTAGAAATATACAATGTGTTTTAAATCTCTATCAGTATGTTGGAGATACACTCTGCAAGAAGCTCCTCTCCCTTTTATCCATATAATCAGATATGGAATAAAGCGTCCGTATATGTTCCTGTATGTCATCATATAAACTCACAAATATGTCCATGTATAGATCAATTAATTCGCTATGAGAACTTTATTAAACATGTCGTTACTAGGTTCTGAGTTCTATGTAGTGGTTATCGGATATCTTCGTTTTTTTCACTAAAGGTTTAACACTGGAGTTTCACTGAAGTTTCGCTTCTGAAGTCCTCTGTAATTTGTGTAATGACTTATATGGCCTTGATAATACGAAGTAATTCTTCAGAAACTCCCCAATGGTAAGAAGACAAGGCTTCTTCAACTATTAAAATAATATTAATAGCTAATATTCAGCTCTATTATTTTTCAGAAGTTTAGGTAGAGCAGAATCGTCTCGAAGGGTTAATCTGTAACAGGTTATGTAGGAAAAGGCTTAAGTTCTGGTATAGTAGTTTGTATAGAGGTGGATTCCGTATTCTCTTTCCTCGTACACAACGCATCATACTTTTAGATTCAAATAAGTTAACAGTTGAAGTGAGCTCCCATCAGGTTCGTGACCTTGTATTGAATCCGGTCAAAGGTTAGTGTAGCTGACATGCTATGTGGTGTCACTAAGCTCATAAAAGGACTTATCTGATATGGCTTCATCGGGCATTGAGTTCAGGATTACTTCTACTAGGGACGATAAAAGCTACTACGAAAGATTCATGTAGACAATCCAATAGTCAGAACTGTGGAACCGATTTTGGCATTGATGGAACTGACCAGCACTCCCTCGTCTATTGTCACCTGATAGAGAAAGCTGGATATATAAGACTTAATAATACGATCATATTATCAGTTTGTGAGTTTGGCATGGATGGTCAAATAGACATGATTTTGATTTTGGCGCTGTTTAGTCTATTGGATGAAATGAAAGTCAACGGAAAATTATTATACGAACAGATCTCGAAGCAACAAACGAAGGAATAAAATAATCCTCAAACCAGTTGATTTTTGGAGATTCTTGTGATGTAATATATCCCACGCTGTACGGGTTGAACTAAGTCACTGTATTCCAACATTTTGCTGATGAACATCGTTCGATGTGATTGGAAGGTGCAGGCTGTGAATTATTTGCGAATATTTGGTCATCATGAACAAAAAAGGACGCCGACGAGCCAGACAGATCAGTCTTCGAAGTGCAGCCGATTCTCCAAGACCGAGCAAAATTCGGAAACGCAACAACGCCTCGTCGAATCCTGGGTCCAAGCATGCGGACGATGAGGAGCAAGACGAAGCCTCTGTCTTGGATGAGATACCAGATGGACCGCTGGAGATGATACTCAGTCGTCTGTCCGTGGTGGAGATTCTGCAAGGCAGAACGGTGTGCAAGAGATGGAAGAACGTGATCGACTCGCCGACCTTCGCCAAGTTCCATGACCTGACGAACGCATCGTGTCCGGAGCCATGTTTCATGCTGCATTGGATCGTAGGAAGGCACCACGTGATGCGAGCATACTTCCCGTTCGCGGATACGTGGAGAGCTCTGCCGGCCTCGACGATCCAGCCGCAGAGGAGCGGGTACAACACACGTGCCAGGAAGAATCTCGTCGCGCCGCCCATCGTCGCATTGCGAGTGGACCTGTCCCGATTCGATCGAGGCTTTTGGTGCGTGCACTCCAAATACTTCGGCCCTTTCCGGCAGACCGGCCGCAGACGGAGGTACAGAACGCTCTCGGACATTTACGGCTTCAAACTCACGGTCCACAATCCGGTGTCGGGCTGGTGCACGCTGCTGCCGGCGCATCCGGATCCGCAGCTGAACTCGCACCCGCAATGCGGAGTTTCCGTCATCACCAACAGCCGCGACCGGAGCTTCCAGGTTCTGTGCGCGGGAGTGTACCTGCACAACTACGACGAGGAGGCGGCGACCGGAGAACCGGCTCAGTGCCCGATCACGCTGCTGTTCGACTCGATCTCGAACCAGTGGTCGCGAGTCGCCGACCTCCCACTGGACTATCTCGCCTTCCGGGGCGACGACACGAAGCAGGCCACGCGCGCCGACTGCGGTAACATCTCGTACTTCGTAGTCCAGCGGTTCCATCAGCTGCTGCTGCTGGCGTTCGACCGCGACGCCGGGTCGTGGACCGTCGTGCCCGGCTGCATGCCGCAGCAGGAGAGCTCTTACATGTTCGACGCCATCACGCTCGTGCCGTCGTCGACGACGCGGTCGCTGATCCTGGCCTTCCGAAACGGGCCCGTGAACAGCCTCTTCAGCGGCCAGGGCCTCTTTCCGCTCATCTTCTCGTGGAGCCTGGAGGCGTCGCCGGACGTCCAGGACTGGACCCTGATGGACGTGCCGGCGCCGCCGCTGCTGAACTTCCCGGCCGATTATCGCCATCTGCTGTTCACTTTCAGGTGGTACGCCAAAGGGGATTTCATGTTCTTCACTTGCACCGAGTTGTGGGGCATGGGGGCCCTCATCTTCAACTTGGTTCTCCGCCAGTGGAAGCCCATCTCCATCGCTGCCAGTGGCCTCGCTCATCCGTTCGATACCATTCCTCAGATCGTCCCGTTCGAGGTGCAGCTCTCGTCGGTTCTCAATTTGAGTGCGTACTAGTCACGGTCCGAATGCTCGATCAGACTTGGCATCACCCTGTGTGCCCATGGACGATACGAAAAGCTTGACATTGTAGACATTGCCAACTATATATATATATATATCACAGCGTCTTTCGACTGCGAGAGAGAGAAGGATTGTGGATAATGATGATGTGGGGATGAGGACAAGTTGGAATGGTCGCCATGGTGGTGATATACACTCGATGAAAGTTATGAGGCAAAATGTCTGACGGGGATTAAACCAACCCAAGCGAAACGGGTGAGGGAAGATGGTGGTCTGACGATGATATCGATAGAGACTTAAGCCCCGAGTTCAGGATAACTCCAGCCAGTATGACTGACAGACAGAAAGACAGGTCGGATGATGGAGATCAAGACTCTTGTTTGCAAGATCATTACTTATGGACTTGAGGGGAGTTGCTGCGTAGCTAGTTGTGTTTCTATATTCTCACCATCATGCCAGTGCAAGGAGTTACGAATAATGCACTGCTATTTTAGATAGCATCCTAAGAAAATTGAAGGGTTTATGCAGAGATTACTGGAATAGGGCATATGATCGTACGAATCTCCTCTTTTAAATGGTTTGTAGAAACTAGTCTAAGCTATTTCAAATACTGGCGTAAATCTATTTGTTTGTCTGGCAGGAATGTTTATCTAGGTTGAGCCTAATGTAACGACTTGAAACAAGAAAAAAGGAAAAAAAATCTTGTATCGTTTGTTTTAATTTATCATGAATATGATAAGTTATGAAGTCAATAAATATGTAAATATATATCATATTGTACAAAATACCTCTATAATTTGTGTGTAATATGATTATCATGAAAGCTTGTGCTTAAAGATAGTTTTTATACGTATACATGTAAACGTCGTCATGATTAATTACATATCATTGAAATTTCATTGTTATAAATGCTATGAGCAGTCTTCAATTTCTCAATTATGATAATTATACTTCTAAATATCGAAATATCAGAAAAGTTTGATCATAAGTATGGTTACAAGTCAGACAGATGTACTTAAATTCTAATTCTATGATTATTTTACATTCACTAGTCACCAATAGGAAGCAATTTTCATTTGCAAGGGTTTACTCAACTTTCATGGTTGTTGTTAGAGAAGTAAATGTTTGTCGTTGTGATCATGTGCTACTGCTTGGGTTTCCATCCTCTCGGTCGTCGAGAGCTTCGTCGATTGCGGCGGGTTGGAGAGGATCCGCGTGCGAGCCAATTGGAGAGGGTGTAGAGTGGAATTAATTGCTGGGAGCAGGTCGTCCGTCTCCTGCGAGCCCGCCGGGACGAGTCGTGCGACCGAGAGAGAAGGCGAGGAGGCCGTGAAGAAGGTTCGCCGTGAGGAGGAGGACGAGAAGGAGAGCGGGGAGCGGGGAGGTGAATGAGGAACGACATTTTCAAGGTCACGGCAGGTTTGGCAGGTCAGCGTCAGTCTGGTCTGCGGAGGTTTCGAGACTTGGGATGCTGTAAAGGAGGCGTGGGTGGGAGAATAGCTTGAAGTAGGGAGATGGGTGGCAGGTTGGTGGTGCTCGTGCAATTGTTGGGAGGAGGAGTGAAGGTCGCAGTCGTGGAAGAGGAGGAGAATTGGTGGATTTGGCAAAATCGGTAGTGAGTGACAGGCGGGGTTAGGGTAAAGGCTGGCATATTGGGAATTAATTAATGCGGGGGCGAGAGCTGTAGCAACATGAGTGTGCGTATGCTGTCTCGGCCCCCGTCGACAAACGCCAATTCGTCGAATGCGGGAATTGCAGTGTCTCTGGCTCCCCCTGCATCCATCCTCAATTCCACGTCCTCGTCCCCTCCTTCGTTCGCTCCTACTCTGGTGGAGTTCGAGGTATGTCCTGATTCATGAGACTTCCCCTCTTTTTACGTGTGTCCCCTTACTTGGATAACCTGTGTTGATCCTATACTGCAACTATTCTCACGGGTTTTGAACCCAAGATACGCAGGATCGAAGACCGAAGAGCCATTGGGTCATGATTGCTCAAAGATGCTTCTATTGGTTCGAACTGTATGTCTAGTATTTGATGCCGAAATTTGTATACAGCTGTAGCGGCCTGTTGTTCATATGCTCTGATCTCCTTAGCGAAGGTTGTTTACCAAAATGCTTGACTTAATGATCGATCGACTTGCATGATGTATCAAAATCAGTGAAGACAGTGATGGAGTTCAATCTCGGGAGCGAAGTTGTACTGCCACCAGACAGTTTCCTCAGCTTGCGTCTACCTTTCGTGTATTACTCCGAACTGGACGGAGTCCCATCAAGCCCCTACTCCTGCCTTTAAAGGGTATTAATCAAAACTCATTACCAACCTAGTCCTTTAAGTTACTTTAAATCGGACTAGGTTGGTAATGATTTCATCAACTCCTTCGTAATTGTTCAAGGCAGCTGACTCTACGTTTTGTTACTTTTCAAATGCACTGCAAACCACAAATCAAACTGTCAGTGAAAAGTATTGTATTTAAGAGTAAGAATACGTAACAAAAGGCAGTCGGGGAGGGGGGAAGTACTCATTAGATCAGAATTCACCTTCGTAATTGCTCCTTATACATGGCGTTAGTTTCGATCTGCTCGGATGATTCATTGTCTAAGGCGATAACCTTATCCATTAGATTTCCGAACTTGGCAGTGTCCTTGAATCGGTTGAAACGGGATTCTATTTGCTCATTCTCCTGCAAAAGACAAATTCAGTTCAACTATAATGTTTATAACTGAAACTTCGCAGACTAACTGAAAATTTTGGTTAGAAAATTTTAGTTCCATTTTGGTTCTAATAACATTTTATTAGGTAGCTTTTATGTAAGTTATTTATGAATAGAAAAATCATTATAAAAGTCCACAGCCTGTTACCACTTCAAACAACAGAACTGTAAAGTCTAAAAAGCGCAAAATGCAAATCCACGGTAGCGTATGCAAATTGCTTGCAAAATGGAAAGAGAATGGGACATTTCGAGGGAGAGTAAGATGGGAAGAGTGGAGCATGAAAGACAACATTTACTAAACACAAGACCTCTTGAAGCCGATGAACTTATGCGGCACTTCCTGAGTGCTGAGCTGAGAAACAAGCTCGCGTTCCCGTCTGGCTAAGATTGAACATTGATTTTGGAGCCTTTGAAGCTGCAATACACATGGAAGTCAGACAATTTTCTCAATACACCTGTTGGTTAATCCTAGTCGGACATAAAATACGATAATTATCGCTAATGAAGACAACAATTGAAACACCATATCAAAACTGCGCACACCTCCATTTGGAGTTGGTCCATTCCTAAATCAGGGCCACCCTGAATGAGCTGGTCATTGGCCATCTGGAGTAGTTCAATCTTGTTGTAAAGATCGGACTCCTTGGAGCTGTAGTCCCGTTTCAAGGAGTCCATCTCCATTGTCTTCTTTTTTATCAGGCCCTTTTCACAATGATTAAGCCGTAGAAACCGATTAGCTTCGAAACTTTTGACCGAGTACAGCTGAGATTTTAACTTTCATGAGAATCATCAGGATAACTATTCACCTCCAACACGGCGACCTTTCCGCGTAGCTCGTGTAGCTCCTTGGCTTCTCTAGAGGGAGAACTATTCAGCATGCTGTTGGACCCCGAAAGTGATCTTTGAAAGTAACTGGGGCTACCATCATTCCTTCCCGTGGGTGAATCTTGACTCCGCTTTGATGCAGAGAGAGCTTCTAGACGTCCCTTCGTCAACGATACCTCCTCCTGTAGCGTCAACACCTGCTATTTCAGAAGTTTCTCCCTGTCTTCCCCAGCTTCAATGAGTTTCCTCAAGTCACTCTTCTCGGTATCAGCGTTGAATAGCTCCTTCTCCAATTTTAAAAAGCGCTCATCGAAGTTACGTATCACGAGGTTTAACGCACTTATTTCTTCTTTGCCGGCGGAGACCTCCAGCTCCAGGTCTTGTATTCGAGATTTGCTAAGAAGCTCATTTTCGGATACTTCCTGGAGAGTGTTCTCCAAAGCCAATTTTTTTCGGTCTATTTCTATGATGTCTTCTTTCGAATGCTCTTATTTTTAAAAGTTGGGAAGCACTGCGACCAAAGACACCTCTGTTTTCTACAATTTCTTGCCTTGCTTTCTGCAGGCTGTGTTCCAGTTCCTCCTTCTCCCTTCGGAGAGTCGAACACCTGCCCTCCCACAGAGCTTTAGCATTCGTTACGGAACGTATATCGCCTTCCAACAGCCTCCGTTCATCTTCCAGGACGGCAGCTTTCTCCAAGGAAATACTCCGCTCCACCTCCGCCCTCGAGTACCTCTCTTCCAGTACAGCGAGTTCTTTCTCACGGGACTCCAAAGCTGCCCTGACATCTGCCAAACTGCGCTCTAATTCCGCATTGGATCGAGTCGCTGTATCGCCAGAATTTCGGAGGGAGACTGAACGTAAGTTGGCATCCTCCGCTTGTCTGCGGGCCTGTTCAGCCTCATTTCGAGATTCCTTCAGTTGCTTTTGAAGATTGTCGTTAGCCGTCCGCAACTCTGCGACTGATCGCTGCATGCCAACAACGGAAGTATCATTGCTTTCGAGCATACTTCTCAGATTGTCCTCAGAAGCAGCTAGCTTGCTCTTCAGCTCCACGACCAGGAGTTCCATGCTTGTTGCATCAGAACCAGGCAAGCTGTCATTGAGCCGAATATTTGGACCTCCTTCTCAGATTGTCCTCAGAAGCAGCTAGCTTGCTCTTCAGCTCCACTACCAGGAGTTCCATGCTTGTTGCATCAGAACCAGGCAAGCTGTCATTGAGCCGAATATCTGGACCTCCTCTGGTAGAGGATATTAATTTCTCACTCAACTCCACATTCTCGTTTGTAAGTTCCTTGACTTCTGTTTTCCAGGTCCTCTACGTCTTGCGTGAGCCTCTCCACCATTATTTTGAGCCCTTTTATTCTCACTTCGTAACCATCCTTTGAAAATGGCGGGGATTTTTCTGCAATTTTCTCCTGCAGCGAGTTGAACTTCTGCTTCCAGTACTTCTCCTGCTGGAGATCCTCTTCAAGCCTGTGCTTATCAGTCTTGAGGGCTTCTACTTCTAACCTACTTTCTTCTAATGATTCTTCAACGTCATTGATAGCAAGGACCAGCTCCATGTTGGAATCCTGTGTCTTTCGCACTTGAGCAGTCAAACTGAAATTCAGTTCTTTCTGGTATCGCATTTCTGGTATCAACTCACGGATCTTTTGCTGAGCGTCCTCTACCTTCCATCTAGCGTTTCCTTCTCCAGTCTCTCGTTCTTCAAACGCCATCTTCGATGAGTGTGTTGGAGATAACACATTATCAGAAGAAAAGGCGCGACCATTTCCATTCTGTCTTGGAGTGGACGGCTCCAAAGGATCGATGCTTAGTCTCGCACCTCATTCATCCTGTTAGTGACCCAAAAAGCTCGCATCAGATTCTTTTCAAGCTTGAGTTTCAGACCTCTACTATGCCCACGAAACACTGATGCATCCAGATGAATTATGCCAGCTACAAATCAAATCATATGCTTCACAAATATTCATGTTCAGTAGTATTGTTTGTAACGTGCATGCAAACTGTATTACTGAAGTTTCACTCCGTCGACTAACCTTCATGAAGGATGTCCGCGTATTTGATTTGGGGGCGCTGTTGTTGGAGTTTGCACTCCCAATGGTAATGTTACCAGATTTGTCTTAATCCTCCATATCCTCTGTCACTAACTCGTTCACCTCCGGCACTCGCGCTCTTTTAAGCCTAGAAAGATTCAGAAGAAATCAATCAGAATTACGAAACTGAGTGTTGAGTGTGTTGAAACTGAAAACTCAGAAGTCGGAATAAATTACATACCCTCTATCTGAGCGCGGAGTTATACAAGTGATTGTAACATGTAAAATGCTACCGTAATAACAGTTTTTCAGAGTCCACTACGTCTGCGTTGGATTATTGGGCTGTGTGAATTCGGCAATATTCACAACGGCCTCTCCTAATACACCAGACCGTGATGATCCCTGCCAAAAAAAGACACGATTATTGTTAGCTACCAAAGTTGGCGGAAATGGCGGAAATCGACTGCAGCGAGGAGGAGACGAGAGACTTTACCGTGGACACAATAAACTTGTATGGCTTCTCCAGATACTCGTGGGTCTTCGTATCCTTTAGCAGCTTCGCAGTTTCGATGACACTGTCGGTCTAATGGCAATTCCCATTTTTACAGATAGCTCTAGTGGTTTTGTAACTTATCTTCCTCGTGTCTAGAGGAATCAGGGCAACAACAAATTTCTCCCATCCGGCGAGTGGAATCTGCAGAAAATGTTCACACAATCACAGAATCAGCCATTACAGATCATCACCCACGATCACCTCAAATCCAATGAGAAATGAAATGAAAAATTGTACACTTACCTTGGACGCATGGAAGGTGATTTTAAAGTCCAGCAATTCCTTGACTTTTTCCCCACTTCTCTTCAAGGATTTAAACATCTTGGATGTCTAATACTCATTCAAGTCTATACTGTAAATCAAACGTAAGCGTTTGCTTGTAAGGAATCGTGATCAAATCGGTGATTTCCTCTTCTCTTCTCTCTGGTGTTGATCACACATCTCCAATTTTCCAAGTCTCCTCTCACCTCTTCTCTTCTCTCTGGTGTCGATCACACATCTCCAATTTTCCAAGCCTCCTCTCAGGCCCAGATTCGCGTGCCCCATCAGGAATTCATCTCAGACTTTTCACCCGTCGCTTTCACCAGTCCTTTTCCTACAGTATCTGTCTCATCTACTTCGCGCTTCAACGCTATGGTTGAAATGCGCCTATTCAACACGATCATTGAAATACTAGCATTCACCTGGAAAGTTGAACCTGAGCTAAAACTTCACAAGAGATGGAACTACTAGGTTACAAATCCGGGCTCCCGATCACCAAAAAAAATTGAAAAAAAGAAAATCAGTGCGAGAAACTCATCGGAATTACTAAACCTACTACTTAAAACCTGAGCAGAGCAGAGATGAACGACTGGGTTACAAATCCGGGCTCCCGATCACCATGAAGAACTGAGATGAACGACTGGAGTACAAATAGGGATGGTGATAGGGAGCCCCGATTTGTACCCTAGTCGTGCATCTCAGTTCTTTATATTGAACGGGAGCCCGGATTTGTAACCCAGTCATTCATCTCTGCTCTGCTCAGGTTTTAGTTAGTAGGTTTAGTAGTTTTGAAGATTTTTCCGCATTGATTTTCATCTTGTCAATTTTTATTGGTGATCAGGAGCCCGGATTTGTAACCCAGTAGTTCCATCTCTTGTGAAGTTTTAACTCAGGTTCAACTTTCGCGGTGAATGCTAGTATTTCAACGATCGTGTTGAATAGGCGCATTTCAACCATAGCGTTGAAGCGCGAAGTAAATGGGACAGGTAGTGTATATTTATTCTTGAGCAGAGGTCAAGAGTTCAAAAACGACTGGTGAAAGCGACGGATGAAAAGTCTGAGATGAATTTCTGGTGGGGCACTCGACTCTGTGACTGAGAGCTACCGATCACCAAGAAGAACTGAAAGTTCAAAACACTCGTCCACCACCACCATAGCTAACTTGCCCAGAGACAGCCCGCCATTCTCACAAGCCCACCACCACCACCACCATGGGCCGCACCAGCAAACCTAACGCACTCCTCCTCCTCCTCCACCGGGCGCGCTCGCGTTTCCTTCAATGAGAATTCCGGCTCCCCTCCAACCGGAACGTCAAAGCATCGTCTTTTTCCCGCCCTAAAGACGCCCGGCACCAGCAGCACAAGCACAAACACCAGCACCACCACCCGAAGAAGACAGTGCAGTGCGCCCACGAGAGGCAATTGTTGAGCTGCTGCAACACATGGGGAAACTGGCATTAGTCGCGCCCCGGGTGATTATAAACTCAATTGCGCTCCTCCTCCTCTGCTTCCCGTTAGCCCCGCCCCGTTGCTCCACGCTCCCGATCGCTCCCCGATCGATCGCACAACGGCCTGGGCGTCCTCCCGCTGCTGCACCAGTATAGCATGTAGTCGTTGTCGAGCAACAAACAGGCGAAAAACACCAGAAAATTGAGACGCCACATCATCTGCCAACGTAAAAGTCAGATCAAGAAGTTAGTATCCGAACAAAACAGAGAGTAGACAAGATGGTAAGCCTGCTTAAATTACTAGTTGTGAGAACAATATTTAAAAACCTCTTCATGAATGAAGCTAAATGAGAGAACATCTACAAGTTGATTACCACAAGTGAGGCTAAGTTGTTAGACTGTGAACATCGACAGCACCATACCGGGAGTAACACATACCTGGGCAAAACTGCCAAGACTGAAGTCTTTACGCACGTAATAATATGAGAAGTTACCAAAGCCAGTCATCCACACATACGCCGCAATAAAAACACGTATGGCATTGTAAATCTCACGAGCCTCAAAGTAGTGATATATCAGAAAAAGAACCTGAAATATCCACCGGAAAGAATTACGGTCAATATAACTATGCACATCTAAAGCCTAAACTAACTACTGATAACGATCAGCTACAAGAGGTAATTAGTTATTAAAGTTCAAGACCCCAAATGAAGACGTACTAATTCACAGAACAAAGGGTAGAGTAGATTGACACATATTAAGAAGAACGAAGGCTTTAGACGTATTTTAATACTTAAAGACTAACCTGCATCCACCCTTTCCATTCTTCAGTCTGTTTAGATAGAGGATGGACTTGCTTGCCGCCAGCGGCTTATCAGCCGCATGCTTCTTAAGAGAGGTGAGCGTAGAAGCTATAATTAACAGCAGATACAAGAACATAAACAGGTCTCGACTGTAGTCCTGTAAGACAAATAAAAACCCAATTAGCAACTCAGAGGCTTGTTATCAGAAGCCATGTGACAGACTGACATCTAATAAGAAACAGTTTAGAAAAGGTGATTGAATATTAAGGGATATAAACAGTTATTGAGCGCGACGTTGAAATTACTGAAACTTGAGGGCACCAGGTGTAGATTTGATACAAGCAATGCACAAGAGTCTTAGCACTGCCCATGAATCGTAAAATAGAGCATTACCTTCTTGGATTCCCCAAGAACGTTGGTTCTATCACAGAGGAAGAAATAAAAAAGAATAGCGGTCATTTCTCCACTGCAAAAAGAAGAAAACAAATGTGTTAGAAGTGATGAACACCTTTTTGATTAAAAAAAGGAGCAGCGCAAGAACTTTGCGGTATACGTATATATTTCTGAAAGTCGCACGATTCATGGCAACACACAAAGTACTAAATGTCACGTTTAACAGAATATTGAAGAGTTTGAATTCTTAGGCGACTGTCATTCCCGGAAATACTGCAAGTGCTCAACTCGGAGGTCACTCGGAGTACGCACAATGCAACGTAGTTCACTTCAACACACACCTGAAACTGGAAAAACACAACTAAGAGGCCGATCAGGACCTCCACTTAGAATTTAAGGGGAAAGTTTCTCAAGAGTACATTCACAGGATCTGCAGGTAGTGTTCCCCAACTTCGGATTGTTAACTCTGACTGCTAGAGCAGAGCACCCGGGTTGGACTTCCTACTTCGGATGCGGTACGTTCGTCAAACCGAAGTCACTCTCACGCGGTGAACAACACTCTCAACTCACAAAACACGCAGAGAATACAGGAACAGAACTGAGAAATTTGTAATAACCCACTAAAGGCTAAAACTGCAATATAGTGGTAGAAAGGTCGAACCCACAGGGACAGAGGAACACACAGGGTACAAAGTGTCATGTTTAACAGACTATTGAGGAGTTTGAATTCTCATGCGACTGTCACTCCCAGAAATACTGCAAGTGTCCACTCGGAGCGCACTCGGAGGTCGCACAGTGCAGCGTAACACACACACACACACACACACACACACCTGAAACTACAGAAACACAACCCAGAGATCCGTTAGGACCTCTACTCAAGATTTCAGGGGGAAAGTCTCTCAAGAGTACACTCAGCGAAGCTGCGGGTAGTGACTTCCAACTCCGGCTTTTACAACACTTCCACTAGCTTGCTGCTAGCGTAGGAAACCCGGGTTGGACTGCCTACTTCGGTTAGTCACTCATACGCGGTGAACAACATCCTCAACTCACAAAACGCGCAGAGAACACAGGTCCGCACTGAAGGGCTCACTGAGAATCATTCCAATAACACAATAACAGTCTATTGAAGAGTTTGAATTCTCAGGCACTTGTCATTCCCAAAAATACTACAGGGGTTACCCCGAAGGCACCTGCTGCAGCGTAACCTGAATTTACAACCAAGGCTTACACGAAGTAGCAAAACTTCACTTTGGCATTCAGGGGAAAAATCCCGAAGGAGTACAATCAGAAACAAACACTCGAAGGTGTAGGGGCGAAACTATTCAAGTATCTAACTAGTCACTGGCTCTGAGCATCGGCAGTCACCCGCAGGTACAGATCCAAACTACTCAAGTCTCTAACCAATGTACTAGCTCTGAACATTCGGCCGAAGGCCTTCAGCTACACAATGCGGAACGCTAAGGTGTAGCTCCTCGTGCGTGGTGGCAGAACTAAGGACACAAACACGCAGAGAAAACGAGTTCTTGATCTGCACTTCCGAAATTGGGAAAAAACCCAAGGCAAAACGCCTTGAACTACTTTATACCTTCTAAGTCCTAACTAGCACTACACTGCACTACGCTACACGCCTGCACGGAACCACGCTACACTACACTCCGCGGAACCAGTGCTACGTCTCCTGCGCGACGGATTGCCGCGCACTAACTCCCTACCCTGCCAGTCTTCCGCTCGACTGCGCAGTCCCAACCGCTGCAACGCCGCGGACAGCTCCACCTCGAGGGTGGACATGGTATCCCGCGCCTTCGACAGAAAAGCGTCTAGCTTCTTCGCTACCTTCCGCCGACTCCTGCTGTCGCCTGCCAACAACCCTGCTGCGCAAAGTTCAAACTCACGCAGTGTGAGTTTCTCCTGCGCCGCCACTTCTCAGTGGGCGTAGCCCTTGAGATAGTGGGCGACACGCCTCGCCGTCTCCTCCTTCGTGCGATCTGCCTCTCGCCTGCGATCCTCTTCAATTACCACTAACTGCGATTCGGCCTCCGCACGCTGTGCTCTCAATTCACCACACTCTGACTGTAGCCTGCGGATTAAATCCTCATCCGCCTGCCGTGCGAGCTGACACTCCGCCAACAAACGCGTCTGCCGCACGAGCTCCTCTGACAGAATCTGATTCTGAGTTTTCTCAGACATCAAATCCTGCGTGGTCTTCACCACATCCCTGGTGAGCTCTTCCAATCTCTCCTTCCGCATCCTGTCGAGGGCGTGCGATTTCCTCTCAAGGTTGTACTGCCCCCATAAACAGGCATGCCTCTCCCTCAATTCCTTCAACTCCTGGTCCACCCTAGCTAGTAGCTTGCTAGTGTGGACTTTAGTGCGAGTCCGCCTGCGCACTAATTCGATGTTAGATCCCGGCTGAAGTGGATCGGCGTATTTATCGAATTTGCGATCCAGGTACTTCAGCAGCGGTATCACCTGCTCAGAGAGCGCCGCCGCCGGCGCTACAACAATTTCCTCCTCCTCCTCCTCGGTATCCCGACATTGCTTCGGTGGAGCCTCCGTCGTCATCATCCGAGTTGAGGATTTCAGTCGCCATTGATTGCGTTGGCGACTGTCCTGAGTGGGGCTGCACGTCGTCGACGTGTGCTGCCTGCGAAGGCACCGCTGCAGCCTCGCTGCTCTTCGCCAAAATGTCTAAGGCGGTGGGCGAATGTGGCCGTGCTACATCCCCGTCGCCCGCTTGTCGGTCTTCAATCGTATCCTCTCTGCCGCCGACGTCCGCCGCCGAAGGCGATAGAGCGGAGGGTGTCTGCGCGGAGTTTGATTGCGCATCGCGCACCAAAATTTCGTCCCGCGGACAGTCAATCCGCTCCTCCGTCAGGGGCTGCTCCCTCGATCGGTCCTGCGCGGGGGTTGTGCCTGGCCTGTGCGCAGGCGCAAATGCCGGCGCCTTGTCCGCCGCAGGCGCAGCGCCGAAGGCGTCTATCGCCAAAGGCGACATAACCGGGGGCCGCTCGCCAGATGTTCCTTGGCCCGTAGGCCCTACCGCCGAAGGCGCTTCTACCGGCGGATTACCCGCCGATGGTGCGGCCTCCGCACGCTCCCTGCTCGCATCTCCTCGGCCCGAAGGCCCTGGCGCCGAAGGCGCAAATCGCGGCGCGTTGTGCGCCGGAGGGTCTGGCTCGAAGGCCTGTGTCCCGTAGGCGGATCTTCCGCCGGCTCCTTCCCCTTCCTCCGTTGAAACGGGGGTGATTCCTGCCTGTGCACAGGCGGCACGTGTTGAGGCGACCTGTGCACAGGCGGACTGCCTCTTCCCACGCGTAGGCGTAGGTCCACGTCCGCTTGTGGTCGCCGATCCGTCGAGGCTCGCCCGTCCGTCGAGGCTCGCCTGTGCGCAGGCGGAACACCTGTCCGCAACACACGTGGTAACTCCAGAGGCCCTTGGCCCGTAGGCGGCCTCTCGTCCGTCGAAGGTGCAGCGGGGTCCGTTGCTCCAGCAGGCGTCCGCGCTCCCTCGTTCTTCTCCGGCGACGCACTTCCTTTCTCTGTGGCAATCGTCGCCGTGTCCGCGCTGCTAGCTGGTAACACAAGCCTGCGCGCCTTCTGCTTCGGCCGGCTGTACGATTCGTACAACGGCCGCGGTCGAATGGGAGCAGTGGGTTCTTGATGCTGCTCCTCTTCGGACTCCTCTCTCCATCGCCGCTTCCGCGGCACTCTTGCTGCAGGAGTATTTCTCCCTTTGTCCCTCCGCCTTGACGGAGTAGAAGTCGGCGACTCCTCTGCATCAGTGTCGACCTCATTCTCCCGCACATACCTCCCGGAATGGTCGACGGACAACGGCGGAAAACGAGCAAGCTCCGCCGCGGTCAAACAATTTCGTTGTCGATAAAAATTGATGAGGAAAGGAGAGAGATGATTTAGAGTTCCCCCCTTCTCCTCAAAAGCGTGCTGTCGCATCACCCTGTGCAGGATGCTCGCCTAGTGAATTGGAGCTCCCTCGATGATGCACTCTGTGGTAACACACTTTTTGTTTTTTTTGCAGAATTTAAACAATTTTAGAAAACTAGTACCAAAGCAGTGTTTGTAGCTAGAGAAGGGTACGCTAAATAGAGTGGATTGATGAGATCGTCACGAGGGCACAAAGAATCACGTAGTCGGATGTACCAACGCCAACGTCTTCGGCGCCTTCGGCAAAAGCTCCTTTTTGAGGTGTCTCTACTCACGCGCCTCTAGCGTATAAGGAAGCTACGCTTCCGGCGCAGACACCTCAGGAGGAGGTTTTGCTAAAGACGTCAGGAGAAGGGCCCGGACCTCTAAAGGCATCCGACCATGAGTGCGCCTTCGGCGAAGCGCCGCTAGCGCGGAAAGGGAAAACCTTCATAACAATCGGGATACACGGTAGATCCAGTTGGTTGAAGTTGCATTAGAAAGAGCTCGGGACGCTCGTTCTAACGAGTCCAAGAGCGCCGGAGATGGATCAGGAATGGAGAAGTTATGAGCGTCGGAAAACTCGTAGCCGGACATGCGCCGTTCGCGCTAGGGTTCACAGCCGGAAAGGATTCCCGTACGCCCTCGGCGATGCGCCTTCGGCGGAATCACGCGCTCACAGGAGGAAACCAACTCAGAGTCGGAAGCGCCCTTGGCGGCTGTTCATGGAAGGAAAGCGCCGGTCGGATGTACACCTCCGACGTGGCGCTGACGGCCGGATGCGCTGGCATGAGTTGCGCTGACGGATATGCGCTGGCAGCAACGGACGAGGCATAAAGGACAAAATAGGCGGTACGACTGCGCGCCGGCGTAATTCGCTCCGGCTGGATGTGCGCCTCCAGCAAGGCGCCGACGGATAATGAACGCACCAGCGGCGACACGCCTCCGGAGAAGGGCGGGTTAGGAAAAGACAACAGGGCCGACGTATACCCTGCAGCGGACTCGAGTCCGGAAGGTGGCGGCGGCGGGAGAATTCAACGTTTAAGCATGCGAATGCGCGCAATGCGGAGACGTGAATTCGCGCATGCAAAGGGCGAACCGTTAAGCCGTATAGCCGGCTGCGTACGTTGCAACCAGTAAGA